TTTTATCGGAATAGTAGTGTTTAAAATACGTAAATATATATTTTAATTTTGTTAATTATATATATAATTTTTTATTTTTGAAATAACAAGCACCGGTCAACAAAAGGTAATCAAATAATACTCCCTCCGTCCCATAATTAAACTATAGTCTGAGTTGAGTTTAGCACGATATTTAAAGAATATTAATATTATATTAGCACTTGGTAAAAAAATACGGGCAAAAGATTTTTTTGGTCTTGTGAGTGTATTAGTGTAAAAGTAGTGACAATTATGTAATAATAATAATAAAAAATAATAATAATTTTATAATGATATAGTTATTTATGGAAATTAAACTATTGTTTTACTATAGACAAAAATAGTAAATATGATTATTGTATTGAGACGAAGGTAGTATTATAATTTATTATCATTAATTTACTAAGCTATATTACCTTAAATAGTGTATCACTAATCAAATGATAATATAAGATTGAATTAAAGCCACAAAAATTACTTATATTTCAATATTATAATTAAACATATATATATATATTTTAAAAAAAAGTCGTCCATTGTTTTTTAGACAACCAACTTTAATTATTATATATATATATAGACTTTCAAAGATGACATCTACAATAAACAATTATAAATATGCTTGTTTTGTTTTGATTTGAAATTAAAATAATGATTTGAATTTTAATTTAAATAATATTTTAATATAATATTTAATAAAAAATTAATAGTCCCTGTGTTTAGAAATAAGTTTTTTATTTGATTTTGTCGGCAAATTAATGTAAATTAATAATTTATAAATATATAATACTCCATTCGTTTTATAATATTCATTTTTCTATTTTAATTTGTCCCATAATAAAGTATTCATTTTCTTTTTTAGTAATTGTACTTTTTATGTAACATTATAAATACCCTTACAACTTACAATATATTACACAAATGTCATTACCTTTGTATCACACATACTAATAAGGTTATTTTAGTTATTTCTACTTTATTCATACTATATTATAATATAATACTAATATTTCTAAAATTACGTGCAAAAAGCAAATGAATACTTAGTTTCGAGACGGAGAGAATATAATAAAGTAATATAACATTCATTTTATCGTTTAACTTTAAAGTAAAAATATTGTAAAAAATTAAAAATAGTGAAATTTTGATATTGAAACGAAAAAAATAATAATAATTTTAATTTAAACATAATAAAATAATAAAATAAATATTTATATACAGTATATATTTAAATAAGCAACAACCGCACATGTTCATGAAAAGGACAAATGAAAATTACCTTTTTTTTTAAAAAAAAAAAGAAATCAATAATTTTAATTTAAACAAATTAAAATGATTTGAACGCGATGTATTGTTATAAAAATAAGTATATAAATATATATTTTTTATATATAAAAAATGCAATAATTGTATATTTAAAAAATAAAATAAAATCAAACTCCAATAACAAAGCATGTATGGGGTTTGGATTTTGAGTAGTAAAAATTTTAAATTTGAATAGTTGTATAATGTGATATAAATAAGTGTAGATGTGATGTTTTTAATGTAAAATTGATTTTTAATTTAATATAAAACAAATAAAAATAAGTGTTTGATTTGATATTTTTTAGGGAAAAAAAAATGAATAGTGTATTTAAAATCCAATCCCCAAACAAACACACCCTTAATTAGTGATCCATTGTATACTTTGGTTTTAAATAGTTGTTTAAACATGTGTTCTTTTTATATTTTTTCTCAAATGTTTTTTTCAAAAAAATTAATATATTTCTATTTTTATATTATCTACATAAATTTGTATACTTTAAATAAAAAAATCATTTCAAAATATTTCACAAAACAAACACACATCAAATTGCTTTTTAATACTTCCTCCGTTCCTTCTCTATTTATTCATTTGTTTTTTTACGCAGAGTTTTAGGAATATTAATATTATATTGAGATGTAGTATAAATAAAGTAGAAAAGATATAGTGTGATATAAAAATAATGACATTTGTGTAATATAGTTTAAATTGTAAGGGTATTTTTAGTATTTTTAGAAATTACAATTATTAAAAAAAAATAGATAATTTGTTATGAGACAAACTTAAATAAAAAAAATAAAAAAAGATTGTTAAGAAACAAACATAATCATTTTCCCCCTATTTATAAATGTTCAATAAAACACTTATTTTTATTGTTAATTTTTTATATTATATTTAAAATATCACATTAATATCCATTTATATTTTTTAAATAATCATTTTAATTTGATATTTTGTTAGAAAAATTAATTATTTTAATTGAAAAATATATTAGAAATATATTAAATAAATAATGTTAATTTTGATTTGAAAGTCCAACCAAACACATATCTATATATAAAAAAATATAATATATTATACATATTCATTATTTTTATATTATTTATACAAATTATCTATATCTCACAATAAAAAAAAAAAAAAAATTCTTTCAAACAATTTTACTAAATTTGATTAGATGAAAATAATACATTTCCTCCATCTCGTATTAATACAAGGCGGACAAGGAATTTATTTATTTTTTAAATAAAAAATTATGAAATTTATCATAGCTAAAAAAAAAAAAAAAAAGCCCAAACAACTTAAAATTATATATTAAGACAAAAATAAAAAAAAATAAAAAATAAAAAATACATACCCAGTTTTTATTTATTAAATTTTAATTTACTGTAGGGGTTGGACTTGTGACCATGAGGTCATGGGTTCAAACCCCCGACGCCTCAAGTCATCTATTTTTTAGAAGAATATACAAAAATAATAAAAATAATATTGAAATGAGACGAATGAAGTATTATATAAAAATAGTCTAATTTATATTAATTTACTTTTTCCGTTCCACGTAAATTATGCATGTTTTTTATTCGGGTCTATCTCACATAATTTTTTTTTTTGAAAATCTTAATATATGAATATTTATATTATATTTTCCTCCGTCGTAAGAATAGTTTTATTTTCTATTTCCGTCCGTTCAAAACAAAAGTACCAAAAATAATAGACACATTTACAATTTATAATATATTACACAAATATTATTATTTATGTATTATCCAATATCAATAGAGTTATTTATATATTTTTATTACAAACTAATATAATACTAATATCTAATAATATATTTGCAAAAAAAAAAAAAAAAAACAGTCTTACTCTTCTTAAGAGAGTATATTATGCTAATTAGCATAATAACTATTAACCTTAGGGTATGGCCAATAATGCCAATTTTAGTGTTGTCTTTATTTTAATTTTTTTAATAAAAATTATTGTAAGTTATAAATATAAAAAAAATAAAATAAAATTGTTTAAACTAATATATAAAATAACTTATTTAAAGAATATTAGTAAAAATAGAGTTATGATTGTAATAAAAATACTGCATCAACTACTTAATCTGTTCACTCAGCATTTTTAAATGAATTAATTTTTTGTGTGTGCTTCGAAGAACTGTGTTGATATATAAAAAATAATATTTTATATTAAATAATTAATTTTTTTTTTATGAGTGAATGATATATATATTATATTAATGTGTATATATTTATAAATTTTAATAATATTTATAAAAAATTATTCAACTTAAAAATATTGAATGAACATATTGTACTTTTTTTTTTTTTTTTTTTCATTTCTATGTAGGCATGTTAGTATATATGAGAACAATTATATATTTATGGTACTGAAATCAATATCATATTGTATTATTAAAAATTATATCATATTCTGTTAAAATATTTGTTATATAAAATTATATCATGTGTGGTCAAACATGCAATATTTTATCCTGATTACATATAGTGACGGATTTAAATCAACACATTGTATATATATACACTCTCTATATGTCCCTAAGTATCAATTTTATTTTATTTTTATATTGACATTTAATATTTAATTATTATATCAAAACGTATTACAAGTTAAAAAGAAAATGACAAATTTTTTTTTAATAGTGTCTTATAATATTAATATAATGACATTTGTACAAAAATTATACAAATATAAAAATATTTTTAATGTTAAGTATAATAACGCAAATAGTAAATATGTTTTTTGTTATGGAATGTATGAAGTTTATTCTATGCGTATTTCAATTGTGTATATTTAGGTACGAATTTTAATTAAAAATTAATAATTATTATATTTTTTATTTTTTACAGTAAAAAAAAAATACAAGAAATTATTATACTCCCTCCTCAGTCCTACAATAATTGACACAATTTTTATTTTTGTTTGTGAATAACAATTCATATATTTCTATTTTGGGTAAAAATTTACTTCATCAAAACGTCTTTAACAAATATAAATCAAGTTAATTAACACATAACATATAACATCATAAATAGTAGGACTTAATCAAAACCCCTTTATTTTTATATCTCTCATTTTAAAAAATTATTTTTATCTATATTTAAAACTTCACATTTTTTATAAAATTAATTTATATTAATTATAAATAATTAAAAGTATTTTTAAGATTTACTTGTATTATAGAAAAAATTATTTTCTACAAATTGATATTCATATTGCATATATTTTTTTATTGCTAAATAATTTTTAAAATATTTAAATATGTATTTTAATTTTTTTCAATCATATATATTAAATTTACTTTTAAACTATCAATATTATTAATTACATAAAAAAATAATAAAATAATATCATTATTTATTATTATTAATTAATTAAATATTTTTTTTCCTTGAACTATATTATTGTATAATATAAATGTAACGATATTTGTGTAATATATTATAAATTAAAAAAATATTTATAATATTAAATAAATAAAAAAATACTTTGTTAAAGATCCAAAAATTTTAAAAAAATAAATAAATTATTAAAGAAAGAGAAATATATATTTTTTGTCATAACTAAAAAAATAAATAAATTTAAACGAGGAGAAGTATATACGAATCACTACCTGCCGGTGTGTATATATATATATACATACATAAATTACTTTTGCTTATTCATTATCTTTCAAAATCGATCCTTTTTTCCCCTTTGTGCCTTCATTCACAATTTCATATTTCCAAATTTTGAGTCAAACTCAAACAAACAAACAAACTTTAATCTCTGCAAACCTCCAGTGCTCCGCCGCCGCCGTCGCCGCCGCAATGTCCGACCAATCTCCGGCCTCGTCTTCCCCAATCTCAATCTGGACCGCCATTAACAGCTGGTTCACTCCCACCGTGCTCTTCATCCTCCTCAACCTCGTCATCGCCACCATTGCCTTCACCTCCACCACCAAGCACCGCCGCCGCCGCCGCCACCCTCCGCCGCCCTCCGCCGCCAGATCTCCCTCCCTCCTTCACCGCCTCAAAACCCTAACTTTCGACCCCCACTCCAGATCTGCCGACCCCCTCCCGCAAAACGACGCCGTCTCCCCAGATTCTCAGAATCTCCTCCCCCACTCGGAATACTTCTTCCCGGAGCCGTTCGAGACAGATTCCGGCGACTTCGACGGCGGCGCTTCTCAACAAACCACCGCCGGCGACGTATCGGGCGCCGTCCACGTCAGCAGGTCGAAATCCGACACCCGGCCGGCGTCGGGAGAGATTCCGACCAAACTTCCGGCGACGATGAGGAAATCGGCGAGCATGAAATCGGCGTTCGGCCATTTCAAAGAAGAGGATATTGTGATTTCGGAGGAGCGGCGGCCGGCGACGGCGACGGCGCACCACGACGGCGACGAGGAGGTGGACGCGAAAGCCGCCGATTTCATCAACAGATTTAAGGAGCAGCTGAAGCTGCAGCGGGTGGACTCCATTGTCAGGTACAGAGAAATGATAAGAAAAGGGAACTCCGGCAGGGGAGATCAGTGATATTTTTGCCTTTTCGAAGGGGGTGGTGTGTAATTTTCGGGAATAGGACTCTTCGCGGTTTTCGATGGGGGCTATTTTGTAATATCTACTAAATGCATGGGGTATCCGGCATAAATTCGTGTTGACGGGAAATAGGGGTTGGTGGGAATGTGGGGGCATATTGGTAATTTCGTATCTAATTGCGTTTGAGTTATTTCTGACCGTTGGATTAAGTTGCGAAAATTTATGTAGATAGGGGAGATTGGTTCGATTTAATAAAGGAGCTTTAGTGGTGTAGAGTGTAAGAACGTGCGTAGTCAATGTAACACTTTTGGTCCAAAATTTCATTTAATTTTTATTTTATTACCAATTATTTTTTTTAAAAAAATTGAATTTTGGTCCCACACTTGGTACTAATTTTCAATTCGAATTTAGAATCCTTTGATTTTCACCTTCTTAATTTTTTAGGCAATACAAATTGTTAAATAATTCAGTCCGGTTCCAAGGCTCTTATTTACTTATTGGTGTCTTATAAAGCATATTTGTACAAAAAATTATACAGATATAATGATATTTTTAATGTTAAATACAATGATGTAAAAAAAAAAATAAATGTGATCCTTCCCGCTGAGGGAGTAATAAATTTAAAAAGTGTGTTTTTCTTGTAATTTAGCTTTTTTTTATTCTTTTATTTTTTTGAAATTTTAGATTAAAAAATAATGGTCGGATATGGAGTAATATTTTTGTAATTATAGAAAATTATATATATGATTTTTAATTATTTTTTATGGTTTTCAATTTGCCCTAACCTGATCAAAAGTGTGAATACAATTTGTTTTAAATGCGGTTTGTTTTCACTTGTTTGGATCCTTACAAACTCCATGCCAAAATTACTTTTAAGGGTGTATTTTTTTTTTAGTACAAATGTCTCAAATTTTATGATTTGGATTATATGTTCTTTTGAGAAAAATACTTAACCCAAAGCAACGGGGTTCTTTGGATTTTGTAATAGATTAAAAAATAATATTACCTCAGTCTTATAAGAAAAGTATTACTCCCTCCCTCCCATAAGAAGGGTTCTATTTTCTATTTTTGTCTATCTTAAAACAATGGTACAATTTTTTAATTTAGCAATTGTACTACCTTTCTAACATAATAAATATTCTTCTAATTTACAATATATTATACAAATGATACAATTTTTTATATTACACAATATTAATAAGGGTATTTTTGTCTTTTTTATTACAACTCAATATAATACTAATATTCAAAAGTTTACGTGCAAAAAACAAATGTTACTCTTTAAATAGGACGGAGGAAGTATAAGTTTCATGTGTTTTGATATTTGAATATTAAATTATTAATTATTATGTCAATACGTGGTACAAATCAAGATAAAATGACAAAATACTTTTATTAATCTCTTATAATACAAATACAATGATATTTGTGGAGTAAATTATACAAATATAAGGATATGGGTAAACTGTTTTTTTAGTCCCGTAACTGGACCCCCTTATCATTTTAATCCCGTAAGTGGAGCCTGTAGCAAACTAGTTTCATAAGTGAAAAATTTTCGCTGTTTTAGTCCTCCGGCGCCGGAGACGCCCGCATGGCTCGCCGGAGGTGCTGTGTCCGCCAGGTGTGACCTGGCGGACACGTGGATTTATTTATTTTTTTTCAATTTTTTTTATTTTTTTAAATTAAATCAAATTAAAAAATTAAAAATAGGTTTTAAAAAAATTTAAAAAATAAAAATAAAAATCCACGTGTCCGCCAGGTCAGTGCCAAGTGTCGCTGACTTGGCGGACACGTCACCTCCGGCGAGCCACGCGGGCGTCTCCGGTGCCGGAGGACTAAAACAGCGAAAATTTTTCACTTATGAGACTAGTTTGCGACATGCTCCACTTACGAGACTAAAATGATAAGGGGGTCCAGTTACGGGACTAAAAAAACAGTTTACCCTAAGGATATTTTTAATGTTAAGTACAAAAACAAATGATGTTGGTTTTATTGGACGAAGTTAATAATATTTTATTAGTTAGTGGAAGTCTATAAGAGTTTTTGATATTTTTATTTTTTGATTTTATTTATAAAGTAATTATATATGTAATGATACATTTATAATTTGAGTAAAAATTAAAGATATTTTTGGATTAATGTATGATTATGTTTTCTAAAATATAAAATAAATATTTGAAGTAGGACAAACGCAATGGACGGAAAGAATTTATTTTTTAGGACGGAAAGAATATATAATTAACGTAAAAAATTATATTTTGAATTAAAATTATTTATTTATTTTTAAATTTATAAATTATCTTATTAAATATTATTTTTAATACCAAATAAAATTCAAAGAAATATATTGTATTTTTATTTACATTTGTATGATTGTTTGAAATAATATTTTGTTCGAAAGAACAATATATATATAAATATATATATATTTGAAGAAAATTTGAATAATAAAAACTTATGGTAAAATTTATAAAAGAACACAAGTTTTAAAAAATTTTGAAAATAATAAAGTATTAAATATTTGATATGAAATTTTGTAAGAAAAAATAAGCATTTGATATACTCCCCTCGTCTTAGATACAATGTCCTTTTTATCGTAAACACGTGAATTTATGAACGATATAATTAGTAAATAATTAAAAATGTATTATATAATAAAAATAATTTTAGATTTATATTTAAATAACTAATTAGGTTAATTGTATTTAAAAAATTATAAATTAAATTTTTTTAAATGAAATTAAACTCTATAATTATTTTCTTAAAAAGAAAAGTTATAGAATAAGTGAAAAAGCTAAATACACATTTAAATACTCTCTCCGTCCTAGATAAGATGAACATATTACTGTAGATACAGAAATTTAGGTAAAATATAATTAGTAAGTAATTAAAAAGTGTATTAGTAAAAATAATTATAGATTAAGATAAAATAACTAAATATTTTAATTAAAATAAAAAAAAATTATAAAGTTTAAATTTTAAAATATAATTAAAATATATAATCAATTTTTCAAAAGAAGAAATGACAAATTATATGGATAGACAAAAATAGCAAATAGAACATGTAAGACAGAGGGAATACATTTGTTTGATTACAATTTCAAACACAAAGCACCATTATTTATATGCATCATTTTTAATAAAAATATTCAATTTTTTTAATAAAATATTATTTAAATAAAAATTCAAATTAACATATTATTTACACAATTCATTTACATTAATCAATTTTATTTATCCATAATATTATTATTTTCACTTTAATAAATAATAATCAATATCACTATTATTCTACTTATTTCTTTATTATTATTATATTTTTAGTAATTTTCTTTTTTATAATACTCCATTTTATTTTTACATTTTATACTCCATCCATCCGTATATAATATCATATTTTTCATTCTATTCATTTAACATCTTATGTCATTTTCATTCTTTTTTATAATAAAAATTATATAGTTTAATTACATTTTTTATTTTACAATTTATAATTTATAATTATTTTATTAGACTAATTATTTAGTTTAATATTATTAATTTATAATTATTTGTATCATATTATAATTAATTTTCTTAATACATTATTAATTATTTACTAATCATACTTATCTTAAATTCTCGTGTCTACGGTAATTCTGATACAATATCAGGGACGGAAGGAGTAAATTTCTATTTTTCCATTTCGGTCCATCCTACATAATTTGTGCTTTTATTTTATAAAAATATAATTATACACTTTAATTCCATTTTAAACTTCATAATTTATGTATTTTTAAATTTTAATTAAATTATCTATTTATCTTAATCTAATCTATATTATTTTTATTATATAATAATAATTTTTACTAATTTAATTCTTAATTACATACTAATTTTATTTTAACTAAATTTTAGTATCTACAATAATATAAACTTTTAACAAGAACAAAGATAGTATTATTTTTTAATCTCTATATTCGAACACTGTGGCATAAATAACCCGATTAAAAAAATATATTTTTACCGTAACTATGGACCGAATAATTGTGTATTTTATTTAACCTAATCTTAGATGGAAATATTTATTTATTTTTCATTCATTATGAATCTTTAATACTTTCTTATTCTTAGTTCATTTACAAAGTTTATATATATTTATTTTTGATTATTCAATTATAAATTAATTATTTAAAAAATATATCATTTTCATAAATATTCTTACTTTATCATGGTATTATTATTTTTACATAAAAAATAATAATAAAATTATTTTTATATTATTTTTAACTGGTGATTACAATTAAAATAATATTATTACTTTTTAAATTTCACAAAAATAAATATATATTTACTTTCAAATTGAAGGAAAATAGTATTTTATTTTTTCATGAACACACATACAACATAGCAGTTGCTAAAGGATTTATTGTCTTTGTATACAATTTTAAATATTTTTAATTCCTAAACTATACTTTATCTAATTACAATCGTTCAAAATAAATAAATAGATATAAATTTTATTCTTATAAAATCACATAATTTTCAAATTATCTTATTTAATATTATTCACCAATATTCTTATATCAAAAATAAATGTTACATTATATTTAAAACAGAAAAAATATATTATTATTAAAAACGGTGCAAAATAAACAACAATAACCAAACAAATTCCAAAACATTCTCAAAGGATGGATTTGGAAATTTGAATAGTTCTATCTTGAGCTCAATCCATTATCAAAATTTATTTAGTCCTTGGGCTTAACTTTTTGGTTGCATCAAGCATTATTATTTTTTTATTATTATTAAATTAAACTGCATAAAATTTATCTGTGATTTTACAAAATTGTGCAAAATCTTTTATACTTTTACAACTGCGTCAAACTCCATCGTGGTTTCATAAACTTTGCATCTAATATCATCGGCGCTCGTTATTTAATTGTATTTGACCTAAATGCACCCAAATTACGAATAAATTTTAGAATCTCAATTTCTAAACCGCTAAAATTAAAAATATATTTATTTTTCTTATATTTAGCCTAAAAAAACAGTAAAAATAAATTCTTAAAACTTGGGAAAAATAATTATTTTTGAGTATATTTACTATTTTTTGAGGCTAAATATAAGAAAAATAAATATATTTATAATTTTAAGGGTTTAAAAATTGAAATTTTAAAATTTATTCGCACTAGGAACACATTTAGGTCAAATACCGTTAAATAAGAACCGCCAAGGGAGTTAGATGTAGAGTTTATGAAACCACGAGGGAGTTTGACATAATTTTAAAAGTATACGTGATTTGGCGCAACTTCATGAAATGAAAGGTAAGTTCGATA